TAAATAGATATAATATAGATATAAAAATAGAAATAATACAGATATTTATTATATAAAGCCATAACTGGTTTTATCAGAGAGCTATTACTATTTTATTATGTATTATTCTTCTTCTACAAACACAGAATGGAAACATACACACCAAATCCCATGCCAGTCAATGCTGTGTGTCTAACATCTGCAAGCGCAGGGGTAACTAGGTTAAAATGAAACCAAAATGATTATTTTTACTGAACAAAATGTTTGCCTTTTGAGAAGCAAACTTACACATAAAGGCATCAAGTTCACATTCAACGAAACTAATTCTCTCCCATTCACAGGGAATCCATTAACTTGCAGTGGTCATCCTAAATACAAAACTGACACTCATAGCAAAAGGACCCAAGATAACTTCCTGTTCGCATCTCCCTCTTAGTGTAACATTCATTTTATTCCATTAATTCAAGCTGTGCTCATTTAATGAGTGGTGTATGCCAGACAAACTGGAACACATCAGAGCAGTAAGCCACTTCTAAAAACATGGTCTTACTTAGACATTCATTAAATGTTACAGCAGAGTCAGATTAAATCTTCAACACTAACTCTAACCCAGACAAAAATCAAATCCAGCACAGCCACGAGCAGCCGCATCAGATTTTTCAGGTGTTACTAAATATCATGACAATTCCAACCACATGGATAGAAAGGAAAACTCCTAACAAGTCAGCTTAACTTCTGATTTTCCCATCTTTAACAGAATTGCTTTGAAACATGTAGAAGTGATACTTTTGTGTGAATCCTGAAGCCCACTGAAACAACAGTCTCTAATTTTTACATGAACTTAAAATAATTTCTCTAAGGATCAGGGAATGAATGGCTTGATACTTTCAGGAAAAACAGGGAACTGCTGGGCTTGACAGGGATGTCCATGTACAAGCAGAATGACTTAATATATGCCTGGCATCTAGGAGCTACTATAAAACAAACACTATGTGGTTTTGAAGACATGCTGCTGCTGCTATAGTAGAGGATTCAGCTTTCCAAGAAATTTTACATGCTGGAAACCTAAGTGCTGATTCCTTTGGCATCTATAGTCATTCACATTTTCATGCAATAATCACAGTAAATAACAAGAGAGTGAACAGATTGAAGCATTTCAACTAAATGAAATAGTCTTTTCAACTCTGCAACAGTCTCATGCTATCACAATGTACATCATTAAAACCAAACAGTATTTGTGGAGAGAAGCAACCCCTTATTAGACTAATATGCAAGCTAATATACAACTGGAGAGACATAAGCTTCTTAATACATAAACACAAGAAGCTTTGAAATCCTCAAGAGGTACATAAAACACCAACAAAACAGTTTGTTAAAAACTATTCCCTCCCACCACAAATACATTTACCATCATATCAACAGTATTAGGAAATCCGTACAGGAACTAACTACAATCTTCAGTTCTCCTGCTTGAGAAAAGTGTGGAGTTAATGATAACCCAAAATGCCTTAAGAAAATGAAGAGGGAATGTCAGAGTTCTCTCTGCCGCACCTGGAAATTGGTAAAGGGGAAACCCACCCCTCAGCTGGAAATGCAATTTGTTAGCAAACAGTACTGCTGAGATTTGGATTTCAAAATAGCTCAGCACCTTTGCTCAAGACTTCTGTTCCAGCCAGGCAAGTTTTGAGCTATGGAGCCAGGATACGTTTTTGAAGCAGTATTCTGCATAATCAAGGGTGTAAGTCAGCTCATATAAAACAGGAGCTCAGCTCTCTACAGTTACTTCAGTTAAATACATTTCTCTCATTTAGCTTTGACAACTTTCTTGACGTGTTTTCCCATATACATACAATATATAATGAAATGCCTTAAAACCATTACAACCTAAGTTCTCTTCCCCAAATCCTATATTGTACATGTAACATTTCTGCATTTTCTGAATCCAGAAAACTCTTCAACACTGACAGAGAACAATTTGCTACTTAGCAACACATCTCAATCAAAAACCCACTCTTTTTTTCAGCCAGAATGCAAACACTTGGAATCTTAGAAACATTACAAATGTATTAGTTATGTCCCCCATAACCATTCCTTCCTTTCTAATTCAGTATCTCTGTTCTGGATTCCCATGTGTCAAAGCCACCTACAAAAGAGGTAAATCCTCCCAATATCCTTCTGGAACCCTCAAGAGTTGCTTTAAGCAACAGACCAGTCTGAAAATACCGAAGTCCCCTGGGACACCAGAGCTTACATGCTGTTGTGCTGCATTTGTATTTCTGCTGATATTTCTTGCTCAGGAACAAAATGCTTTCCTGGGAAACGTTTTGTAGTGAACATCCACATGTTTAACCTGCCTAAAAATAACCAAGTTCACCCTTGGAACGCTCTTTTAACCCCAGAGCACCCTACAGGCAGAAGCAGTCACACCAGAACTGGAAGATGAACTCAAGTCCAGCAGAAGTTAAAACTCAGGAAGCCGTAGGAGCAAGATGACCAAGCTGACTCAAACAGATCAGCATTTTTTGTTGATTGTTAGCTGAAGTAGTACACATAAGCCACCTACTAAATTTAGACATAATTCACATCCAGTTTGTCTCTCTGCTTTGATTCCTGTAACTAAAAACTATAGGTTATTTTCAGCCATCATATTAGGATGCTAGTTCACTTTCACAACATTATTCAGATTTGAACGTACGGTGATGAACACAGTAAACCCGATAACTTCAAAATACCAATCATCCTCAATATTTTAATTGAAAACTACTTTTGCATGAGAAGTAAAGCACAGGGAGCTTTATTATGTGTAGCTATCACAAATTATAAGCTGTTTCCAAAACACTATTTAATTAGTGCTTGGTGTTCAGGGGACATTTTAAGTTTTTATGTATGAGCAACTGCAACTGTTTCGAAATACAAAAAGAGAAAATTATCTTAATCAATGTGTAAGTGATTAACTTTCCCCAGCCATGCATGAAGCTGCAAATCAAACACTACAATCAGAGGCAGCAAAGTCAATTACAGACATTCCATTCCTACGCATCAATTCCCAAAGTTTACAGAAACAAATGCACAGAACGCAGGAGAAACGTGCTGCTGCTTCTGGACATTCAAAAAGTAATTCTCATATTTGTTTGTAAGTAACATCTAGCTGAAACAATGCTAGGAAAAAAACCCACAGGGCTCTGGAAAGTGTGAGTTCAGTCTACATACAAATACTTGTATCCATTATACAGCCATTTAACTGTCACTTTTGCATAGCTGGTTGTGTGTGAAAATATCAAGTGTCTGGATGAGAAACAGGAAGGAGCTCTGGAATTGCTCTCTATTAAGTATTCTTCTTCCCCAGATCCCAACAGTGAAGATCCAAGTGACCGAGACTTGTATCAGAGACCCCAGATAATCCAGACCAGGTTTCTTTCAAGCCCAGCAAATGAAGGCTGTAACAAGGCTGTTCTGAGGATGGACTGAAGCTTGGCTAGAGGGGCTTCCCCAAGTGCAGGCACAAGCCATAGTTAAAGCCCCGTGTCACTATATCTGGAAAGAAACACAGACTTTCCCTTCAGGCTTCCCAGTCTGCCACTCTGGAAACGAGCAGAGGCTGGTGACAAGGCATAAACTGCTCTAACACTTCACAGGAAGCAAAGCACAGAATTAGGCAGTTTAAAATCAAAACAGCACAGAGTTTAAGACATGCATCCTGCCTGATTCATTTCTTATATTTTAAGAGAGTTCTAAATCAAGATACCTGAAATGCAAAAGGCAAATAATTATGTTTAATGAACAAAGTTGGGTGACATCTTAATGTGAGAAAGTGACAAAAAAGGTGACAGATGTGATTTCTGGATGAAACACTGAAGAGAACTTTTCTTCATTTATTAACTCTGGTTTGTCCTAACATTTTTCTCTAATCTCCCCAGAAATTACTGTAACAGCACAACTGCTGGAAAGCACCTTTTCAACCTCCAACTAGTTCTAAAAATACTAAGCATGTACAAAGCCACACTCACAGCACACATCTTACGACAAGGGCTCACATTTATTCGTGATACTGCAGAAGATGCTATGGGCACTGCACTTGTGCAAGTCAGAATGAAGTTTTCAGGCAGCAACTGCTGTCAGTACTTGCTGACACCTCAGCAGATGAATGGGAACACTTCCCCTTTTTCCAGCTGTCATGCTCTACAAATTGGAGATGTGTCCAGTGGTGATGTAGCAAATACAGACAGAGGTTATTAGACTCCTCCCTACCTAGGACACATGAAGCACTTTACAAGACCATGTTTCCTACACAGTCAGTGGAGAGAGGCATGCTTCTACCTTGGGTCTGCAATTATACTCTCATTTCTCAATTCAAATCTGTTCTGAATAACAATTCAACTGATCTATATATAATTTAGTTTAATAGTTGGTATTTTCTTTCTCTGATAAATAACTTACTGTGGAGGTGAGAAACATGGATTGACACCAGTCTGATTTTGAAAAACTACATACAAACCACATACACAATCCAGAATAGTTTTCACCCAATGTAGATCATGACGAAGTCAACCTTCATTCTCTCTCACTTATTATGTTCACCTAAGTAACCTTGCAGGAAACCACAGCCATTGCTAAATATTAGCAAGTCTGTGGAAGCAACTCCGGATTGACCAGGAATGTGATGACAAAGAGTTTGCTCTAGGCTTCTTTCATGTTTTAGAAAGCCAATTTGCTCATCAGCTCCTTTCAGAAGTAGAATGACACAGATTCCTGAGACTGTATGAAATCCTGTTTCACAAACCAGAAAGTATGAACCGCAAAGTCCTCTCTCCTGGGAACAAAGGCAGGTAAGTATCTAATCACACAGGTCCTTGACAAAAGAAAACAGTATCTTTCATTCAGAAGGAAGACTAGAAAAGCACTTTCTCTTTTAACATTAGGGATCTCATTTTCTCCTGCAGCTGGTGCGCATTGGCAGCACCATCCAGTTACAAACATGGTGCCAGATGAACTGCCACAAAAGAGACATCCTTTGCTCCTGGGTCATCAGCAATGTTGATGATTTTAATCTTTCTGTATTAAACAAGAATTACTAATGACTTTTTCTGAAGACAGGAAAGAGAATAAAAATTATCCACCACAATGCAGACAAGACAGAATTGAATTCATATTACTTAAAACAGGAGGGAAAGGGAAGAGGCAGAAGTAGCATTATCTGGTTTGCAATACACAGTCACAACACACCACAAAGTTATCACTAGTTTTGGAATCTCACTGTTACACATGGACAACTAAGACACTAACATCAGTTTTCTTCAGTGTTGTTATTTCCCAAGTGTTTAACACACACCTTACTTAGGTCTTCTGATTTCTCTCTGAACTCCAACCAACACTAAAAGTCTTCTGGATTTATTACCTACTTCCCCAACTCCGCAATGATTTCCTTTTCATTTCACAATACAAAACGTGCATCTTTTTGGTTTCTGAGATCCGCATAAGCAACTCCACTGCCAGTTATTAGTTATTTGGGGAACTCATGGCCTTCCCAGTTTCAGGCCCTCAGTACTAAACAGAGAGGTCTCTCTGAATCTGTTTCTCTCTAGGGAACATGAATCTGGTTTGGGCACAATGTTTCTCCTAACCAGACCACTCCACATGAACCAGACAAAACAGGGCTCCAAAACGTGGCTGTTTTGTTCTACCTTCAGTAGACAAACACCATGAATCAGAAGGTTATATATCTTCATTCATAGACCGCAAGCTACCTTAGCAATAACTGTTCTGTAAACTTACAGGGTAGATAAATTGCAAGCATAAGCAGGCTGTATTCTTTCCCTGCCCCTCTCCCTGGGCAATTCTAACAGCATTTTAATTAGCAGCATGAATTATTTGCAATTGTAATAGGGAAATAATCAAAGCACAGAACGATGATTTCCCTGGAAGTTCAAACAGAACACTGGCTAGAGATACACCATCTGAGACAGGACTAGCAAAAGACAAACATACAAGCATCTCTCCCACATCTGAGCCCAGACTATTGCACAAGTGAAAAATTCCTTTAAAAGCCCAATACAGCTGTATGAACACTGTGATGCTCCCCATGGTGAGCTATGAGACACGTAAGCAACTGAGCCTGGGAATCTCCTAGCATATCTATGACAGTCACTTAACTTCCATGTTCAGACAATTGTCCCAGGGAAAGCTGTAGCAGAACAGTAGTGTCTGAAGCATTCGATTACAGACTTGCGATGCCATAGCATAAGCCATTCAATAGAAATTATGTTCTTTCAGGAAGTGAAACACTAATGAATTCCTAAAACAAGCCAACCAACACAGTCCAAGTGAATGCTCCACAGTACAGAAGCTCTTCCTACAGTTTGCATATATACAGGTTGTTTACTTTGATCAGACTTTAGTGCTTCCAGAGTCAATTGTTCTTTCTCCAGAACAGTTTGGAACAGCTGAGTGACTCTACAAAAGACAGCTCAAGTTTCTGGCATCTTAAAACAGGGAATGCTCTAGAAAAGGAGAAACATTTCTCTAGATAATTAGGCAAATAACCCAAACAATCTCAAGTGCCAGAATGAACAAGTAATCCAGAAAAAGTGTCACAGAATTGCCCAAAGCTAACTGTCCATACAGACAAGTTTAGTGAAGAGATACATGGGATTTCTTTTTAAGGAGAGTCCTTTACCAGTTAATACTGGAGAGTTTGTTTTGCTAATACTAATGGATCTGTAACACTGCTTGTATTGTCTGAGACAAGAACTTTACAGAAACAAGAAGTGATATAACAGAAATATTTTTCTTGAGCACACAATGCAAAGCTGCTGTTAAGACAAAACGCTGGACTAATGGCTAGACCTGAAATGGAACAGAAGACCTAGATGCAGGAACACATACCAGCTCCTAACTCGCATTTCAACTATAGAGATGGAATATGTCCTAGTGTGATTATACTTGGTACAGAGCACAATGGCTTGCTAATAAGCAAAGCAGGTAACTGCTGACTTGGCCATGAAACTCTACAGAGTTGCTGTCCTCAGGTGCCCACAACCTTAATAACAATCTACATACTGGCTTGATTTCAGTGCTGAATAGCCTGCATGGAACAAAGAAGGAACATCACTCCCCTGATAAGGTACCTTACTTTCCAAGAGAATCCATGCAATTCCTACAACTACTTCTAAATTATTTCCTTTGTTCCTCTCTCTTACACAAAGTGCCACCAAAAGAAGTCATAAGCCACAGAAATGGAGCATAAATTGCATCTCTTCAGATGACTGGGGGCATTATTCAGAGCCTGGAGGGGTCTGGAGGCTCTGTAATCTCACTTCAACACAGGTCTGAATTTTGAAAGACTATGGCACTGCAGCCTTTCCAAGTTAGTCATATAGATCCTATTAATAAATTGCCATGGAGTTCTGGAATCCTGTTCATCCAAAGGTATCCATTTCCTATGCAGGATTAAGATACAGGATACCCAACAGAGTATTTCTAGTAGCACAACAAAATTCCATCACAAAAATCTCCAACAGTTGAACTATAAACAGCAAAGTGAAGGCCACTATTAGTAACAAGGGATAACAAACTTGCACGCTTGGCCATAATGAAAGGAAGCTGTATTAGTGTTTTCCAAAACCAAAGCAATAAGTTATTTGAACAAGGATACAGACAATTGAGTCTTCAACAGAGGAAAACACAGCCTATCTTCTAGTAATGCAAATCAGCCTCATCCCATACACTGCCAGTCATCTGAGTCCAGAAATGGCATTTTTCTGAGTAAGGTTGTTCAAGATAAGTACCCTATGCAACTAATAGCTTAACTTCATCTTCCTCCTCTTGCTCTTCTTACAGCCCTATTACCCAAGTATCACATATGCACTGAAGATCCACGGCTAAGTTCATTTAATGTGCAACTGAATCAACACACATCACCCCAGCCATATTGCCATATTTACCACCATTCAATCGTATGTGGAATATTATGGCTGTCATGGTGCCTTTGAGCAGTTTAGAAAGGGCAATGACAAAAGAAAACACAGTAATTACAGGGCAGGAGTCTCGGGATATGCAGGGCAATCCCTGGGCATCTGTCAGCCTGCAATATTCAGCATGAGAAATCCCAGCACAAAGGGCAGAGCCCTACAGCAACACTCCTGCACTGAGACAGGCAAGGGCAGACTTTGCACAGGTCAGAGGCCCGCCAAGGTGTGGTGACTGTGAGCTGAGTGACGGCTCAGTTTGCCACCCTAAAAGCTCACCAGGCAGCCCTGAGCTGAGAAGCACGAATAACCCAGCACTATCAACAGGACAAGCATTATTGCCTCTGAGAGCCTATCACAGAACGGTCAAGGCTGGAAGGGACCATCGAAGGTCATCTAGTCCAACCTCTCTGCTCAAGCAGGGTCGCCCAGAGCACATTACTCAGGATTGCAACCAGGCAGCTCTTGAGTATCTCCAGGGAAGGAGACTCCACAACCTCTTAAAAAACAACTTCACCTTGAAAAATCTTATTGTAAAGCACTGTAAGACAAATACGTAATCATGTTGGCAGCTTTGCTGAGACAGGAAACGACACACTGAGCAACGAGACTACTGAAGTATTTAAGACAATAAATATTAACATATCCATAACCTGACTTCTTATGGGATGCAGAGCTTAACAGACTAAACTAAAAGAGTTCAGACAAAAGGAAGTATCTCTATCTAAAGCCATGCAGAGAACACAGAGAAAACATGCAGCAGGTTTCCTAACAAGCACACAAAGGAATACCACTACTCAATACTGTATTTTATCTCATCCAGAAGCCAAAACCAGATTAAGTCAATCCTCTTCTATGTGTACAGTTTCACTCAAGACACATACATTACCCTGGAGAGTCCATCTTGAGTGGTCTGACTTGTTCTCAAAGTATTACCCCAAAACATGCTGTGCATATTCCCATTTAACATCTCTGCCTTGTGGCCAGCTCCATCCTTTATCACTGGGCTCTCACTCTAGCCCTGCTCCTCATTTTGCACAGGCATCCAGAGGTTCTAATTAAACTTCAACTCCAGCTGAGCAGACTGCCCCCGGCCACTGTAAAGTCTGTGCCCAGTTCTGGACTTTGACACTGTCAACACATCTAGCTCCAGCAGTACACACATTCTTCCACTTACGTTGTTCTCTCTGGAGTATAATACTCCTTGGAGTCAAGGCCTAATAAAAAAGATGTTTATTCACATTCATAAGGTTTGTTTCAGTAAGTGATAGAACTGATCATGCAAAGCAGAACATGCTGCAAATCCCGCCTCTTTGGCAAGTCACTGCCTCCCCATAAAGGAAATGTAAGAATTGAAGCTCTGCAGTGGTTCAGAGACCAAGTGCAAGAATACTTGTAATACAACCATGTAACAGGTTTACCTGTGAGATAGGGGTGCTTTGGCAATGAGCGCCACACAAAAGCTTAATACAGCTGCTACTGACAAGAATTAATGACATTAAATCCTAAAAGAGGTCCCAGGAGGATACCCTAGCAGAGCCCCCCAAATGCAAAAATGCGGCTGGCCAAAGTGACGGAAGAACAGTCACCCAAGACTTACTGTACAAAGACATTATGAAGTCCTCTCAGGTATGGAGGATATTGATCCAAGTGCTGCACCGCTTCCTGGACAAAACACATCTTTCCAATGTAAAAAAAATCTTTTTTCTTATGTTGAGGTTTTATTTCCACAGCAATTCCTCTACTGAAGTTACAAATATGCAGAATACCTTGATTCTCACTAATATGTTTAGCAAAATGTAATAAGCTCTCTAATCAGGACAAGGTTGTTTGTTTTTATCACTAAAGTCCGAAAAGAGGATGTTATCTCATCTATATTGACTCTACTGTTGACTTAAAAAACCAAACCAAAACCACACCTCATACCTCTCTCACTTAGGCCAGTATTTTATTGATTATGTGCTTGGAAACCCAAACTCTTTTAGCAATGTGTTCAGAAGTCAGATCAAAAATAAACCTAACAACTAATAGTTTAATCAAAGTGTTTAACAATCAGGCCTTAAAATCAACGAGCCAAAACCAAAGTCAAATTGATCAATATGACCTTGTCATGCAGAAAGAGCATCTCTGAGTACTATTGATGAGCTGACTTACCCACACAGTAGAGGATTATGATATGTACTTCATCACAACATGCCTGGCTAGAATTAAATATTATCTTCTTTAAAAATTCAAAACCCCCCCAGTTAATACTATCAGCACCAAACTATGAATCTTCAGTGACAAGGTTGAAAGTACATTCCTGTGTGAGTCCAACCTAGAGTCACCAGTCTGTCTAGCCAGATTTAAGCAGCTTTCATCATGCCAAGTCTGTGTAAAGACAAATTAATATTGTCAGATGATGGCTGGTGAGACTCTGAAGTGAACGTGACTATTCACAACTGCACAAAGTGAAAAGGGGATTCAGCTGGCATGAAACTACTGACACAGCCCATGAAAACAGGCAGCCTGGCTTTGCTATCTCCAGTTACCAGAGAGGCAAACTCAGAAAAGGTCTGGACAGTAATAAATGTGGCCACCTGATAGAGAAACACATCACATACATGAGAGAAGTTGTTCTGTGAAAGACTGAACTGGGCTTAATCTCTCCACACAAGAAAAGCACAGTACAGTCATACACTTGAGTGGCAGACAGGGGCAGAAGCAGGCAGAACACTGTTTTCAACAAATTCCACCCACTTGTGAGAACAATAAGAAGTAGGACCATTCTTTAGAGAGGGTACTTTGGGGATCTTATGGAACTTCTTCCAGTAAAGCACCCTGCAGAGAAGTATTTCTTTTTTGTCGCAGACTTTTTTAATCTTTTGATTTAGCTTTAAGGTAGCTCTTTTCCATGTTCCATCTGCAAAAACATAAAGAGAATGATAACTGGCTGGAAAACTAACATTGGGGTTCTTGTACGGCACTTAAGGGTGATAAAGAGGTTCTTTCTGTTCTGTACCATCTGTAACTGCTTACAGCTGCATCTGCTTTACAAGTAGTCAAGTTAGCAGGAAAAAAAAATCCAGCTCTTCACTATTTAAAGTTTCCGTTTTGAGAGGGAAAAAAAAAAAACCTCTTTAAGCTATTTTCAACAGAAAGCTTAATTAGGTTCTACTCTTCATCTTCAAAACCCTGCAGAGATCACAACATTCCCCAGGAGAGCTTTTAGCCCTTTGTGGTAACTTCTCAGAGCAGCTATTCAAGTGAAGGTATAGGATCAGCCACCTCAAGAAGAGTTCAGAGTACGTAATCTTTCCCCCAGCAAACAGACCTCCAATCTGAACTTCTAACAGGGACAAGAATGACCTTGCGCCAGACCTAGAAAGCAAGACACAGACATACCTCACCTCACACATCTGCAACACAGGCTACAGAAATCCCTATAATCCAGCTCTGTTTGCCTCCTCCTGTGTCACCAACCTCACCTTTAGCTAACAGTCACTTGGAGAATGGACTTCCCATTGACTAAATAAGTCAGTCACGCTATACCTATTTTATCTTGCCAGTTGGGTCTGACAGATGATGGGAGCATAAATCACAACTGTAGCCTCAAAGATAGTAGATTTACGCTAGCAGAAACAGTCCTTTGTACAGCAACACACCATTAAGCTTAGGTCTCACAGGCACGTATCTGTCCCAACAGCTGGCTGATCCCGATGACAGTGATTACTCAGAATTCATCGGTGAATTTCTACCCACTACAAAAGTCTTCAAACTTAAATCAAGTTTTAAAGAGGAGCAGCAGAAGAAGGGGTGGCAGCCTGCTAAGTGCACAGACACCAGAACACACTGCAGCAGAACAAGCCACAACCCGGTGGCAGCGCTTACCTCTGTCCTGGTTGCACTGCATGGAAATCAGTCATCTTGTAACGCCAGTTCTCGCCCAAGCGGCACCCTCTCAAGTGGAGTTAAGCTGAACTTGGTAATCCAAGCAGCTACTGAAAGTTAAATAAAACTTGAGGATATACACTTGGTGCTGGCTTAACTGTATGGAGAAACCCCCTGCAAAACTGCAGCACTGCTGTCAGGACAGGTGCTCCAAATTTATGTGCCAAGATCATTTGATTCTTAGCACCTGAAGCTAAGCTGCACCATGAATCCAGCTGTATACTGTGCTTCTGCTGTTCTAGTTCTAGCATGAAGCTATTTGCCATACTACTGACGTGAGAAAATGGTGTAAGCAGAGTTCCCAAGCTTCTGTGATTCAGAGGAACACCATCGAGTCTTAACATTTCTACTGATCTCTGTAAACTTCCGATAAACTAATTGCGTACCACTGCAAATTTACTAGAAGTTATCTTCTGCCTGGGTATCAGATGAGCAAAAGGACTTTTTAAAGACACCTCTGCCCAGCAACATCAGAGTCCATGGGAAGGAAGAAGTAAATTTGGGCTTCCAAAAACTAGAGCATTGGAGGGTGCTTGGCTTTAAGCACCAGTGGTTCATGCTGCACAGCACAGTTTTTGTCTTTTAGCAGCTGGACTAAAGAATAACCCAGATCCAAGCCTATTCCTGCAGGTAAGCTTGCCAACTCAGGCCTAAAGTTAAAGACTGTGTGAACAGAGGGTGGAACCCCCAGCTCTTCTCCTGCCTTCCGCACTCCACCTCCTCTGTGCAGACACCTATAGGAATGTGACTGAGGTGTAGAAATGGAAGAGAATCAATTCAGTCTCCAGCTACATACCCGTGCTGCATGGGAAAACACTTGCTAAGGTCAAAAGCCTAAGAACTAGCTACAGGAAGTCAGGGAAGAACATCCAAACCTGACAGACAGAAGAAAATACTGTTTTCAAATGGAAGAAGAAAATAAATGGAAGCCAAACACTATCATTTTCCTTTCAGATCCTACTGGTTAGGGAAAATGCTACCATATGTAAACTGTAAGATATAATCATATCTCTCCAGCTTCTACATGGGCAACTTCAATAATAAGGGAGGAATCTTAAGAACAAGATTGTGCAATAGAGAATCATTTTCTTGGTGCATTCTCCTCGCTTCAGGATACTGGCTGTGATGATTTTAAAGAACCTCTGTTGTGACATCCCGGACAAAAGGTCACTCCATCCTTAAACCCTGTCCCCATACAAGCAAAGCATAAGGATAGTCCCATTTAATGTATTACTTTGAATCCTTGCTGTCATCCGATGTTAAAAATGTTCTGATTTAAATGATTTGTTATCAGTTACAGAGTATCTTTCCCAAAAGCCAGCAGAACATTCTGACTTTCTGACATCCCCCATCTATACCATGCCACTTAACATGACATTCAGCTATGGAGGCTCCCCAAGGGAACTTGGGACCTGAGGCTTAAACCTGGCCCTAAGAATAAACACTTAACAGAATCTAATAATGAAGATGACAGCACAACAGCTACACAATTAATCAGTTCCAGGATAATGTCATCATGGTCGTTCTGGTGAGCAGAGATAATGATCAGGAGAGCTGAGCTTCTCTAGGGATGGCACAAGAGAGGAGAACCCTGGTCCAGCAGATCAGACTGTTTCAAGCAGAGACATCACTTGTTAAAGACGTAGGAGAAAAGACATCAACGTTGGCATCCTTGGAAGAATTAAAGAGGGAGAAAGGGGATCAGCAAGTGTTGCAATGACACATATGCTCCATTAATCTTATTAAAGCATCCCTTTTCCAAGTCAAACTGACTTGCCTGGATCCAGTTCAGCTAGCACACTGGCTTGTGTTTCACTCCACTCAACCCATGTAAATCATAGCTAATTTTAATCTTAACCAGTTACACTAAAGCAACGTGGCACCAAAAAGGCAATGTGTGCACTTATTTTTTTCTACCAATTTCTGCCTTGGTTCTTCCTGGAAACTTTACTCAGATGTCATCAGAATTAAATCAGACTGTTTGACTAAATGGCTTGTGGCAACTGTTTACTTTTAGAGTATATTACAATGCTTACAGTCACCATAAACCGACAAAGAGCTATAATAAAGATGGTGGCACTTAGGCCAAAGATGTTGATACATCACATTACCAAGATAAGGAAATAAAATAGCCAAGATACTAAAAAGACCAGAATATATTCTTTCCTTCTTTCAAATTTTGGGAAATTGAAATCACTGCATTTTAAAAAGCATGACATGTATTTCAGAGCATTTCTTGTGGGAAGCACCCTCTTTTTGCCATTGTGTTTCAGTGACAATTACTGACTTGAGATTTCAGCAGCTGAATCTAGGATTTAAAAAGTGTGGTATTCACCCAAACAGAGCTAATCTCAGAAGAACTTAATATCCTCAATTAATCTGACCTGTCTGGTGTCGTCCCCCCCCCCCCAATTCCTCAAATTCCAACAGCTGCAGGTTGCTAAACTCACACCAAACTCCCAAAGTACACAAAATATACAATTACTTTATTGGATCACACCCTTCAGCAGAAGAAAGAGATGCTCTCAGGTTCACTAAACCTGACGCAAACCACAAGAAAAGGTAGTCGTAGATCCACACCTAACAGCTCACTTGCCTATGACACAAGAAATCATATTAGGACCATCTTTTTTTTTGCAGGAATTTAATGTTTTAGCTCTAGAAAAGCAGCCTGAATACCCCTACAGATCCTTCAGTCTTCCAAACTCTATTTTTATAAAAGCATGAAGTAGAAGCCAGGTCCCCACGAATCCCAAGTTAGTATTGGGATCATTAGGGCAGAAAGGCATGCCTGCTTCCTGACCCAGCAGAGAAACAGATTTAAATGAACAAAGCTCAATCTGTGAATAACACATAGTTTGGTGATGAGAGCACTCCCCTGGAAGGTGAGAGATGCAAGGGCAGAAACCCTGGGGAATGGAACTGATCTCCTATATCCTGGCCAAGCTCTCGAACTACAGAGTAAAAAGCAAGGAACTATTAACCTCTGCTGCCACAATATCCTGAAAAAAGCTAATGGCAGAACTGACAGACATCTTAATTAAAATAGATGCTGCACACCAGCACCTAGAAAACAGATTTGTGTTCTTCACTTGATTTTTTTCTTGCAGAATTATTAATATATTAGTAAATAGAGCCTTTGCATTGGAGCAGGAACTTTTTCCCTTTGCTAATCAGAGTCATGATAGATATATACATTCAAGTAACTGTAAACTTCAACTAATCCCCTGTTCTTTGCCTTATTTGTCTTTCAGTACAGTGCTGTAGGCAGAGTCCCTGCCTACATGACATGCAGTCTGAAACAGCAAAACCTTGAGGGAGGATAACAAGTGAAGGGAGACTGGTACTGAAAGACAAACATATTAACTGTAAACCTGATATTCACAGATTTACTGAGGTTTAAGTCACTTTTCTGATCTCAGACCTTCACACACATTCATACAATGACATCCTTGTCCTCAGGAGGCTTCTAATGAGCATTAAAGTGGAACGTGGTCAGTAATTTCAGTTCCTGAAAAATGTTAAGATTAAAAGGCCAGACTCCACATTTGTATGCCAAGCCTTCACAACAGACTTTAGGCAGCAGCATGACAGAATTTCATCTATATGCTTTTCAATCTGTGGCCTTAAAAGAGCAATACTTGAAAAATTCAGGTGACCGATTCTGTTTGTTTCTGTTGGAAACTACCTCCCATCCTCAAAACACCTTAATCAGTCAGTGAAGGTCTCTCAACCTAAACTGAGCAAAGCAAGTAAGAAATCCTGAATGCAAAAAAATGATTTTACTAGTACTTGACAAGTTCTGTCAACAAGCTGTAGCTCCTCTTACTCCCTGCCCTCCCACATACACATCTAAATCCAGCCAACTAAGACTTGAAAGCACTACCTCAGTCTTCTGGAAGAGACTGTATTTTAATTCATGGCTGCAGCATGTTAAATGCTTAAATGCCATGAAAGCAAATTCTCAGACCTATGAATCTAGAAAGACTTCTAACACCAACTGATTTGCATTCTCCCAGGAGCAAAGATGGCACTGTTACACTTACTCCAAAACTCAGTAGCTTTATTGATTACTCCGACACATCCCTAGACTTAATTTCCATGCCCTTTGCATCACATACAGAAGTTTCTAAATATATCACCATTTCACTCATCAAACATTTGATGGCTAATACAAGAATCATGGCACTGATTAAAACATTTAAGAGAGTTTAGTTGTTTATAAGATTAGTGACTCAGTACAGCAGCTTCTTTTTTTGTTCTCAGCTTACCCTCCCAGTCTGTCTCCTAATCATCACCCTGACAGGACATGCATGCACTGCAACCCATATTACTCTTATACAACACCCTGAGAAAGGAAAAAATAAAAATACATTGGATTTTGGGGTAGAAATCTCCTTCTCTCTTCACATTTGAAGGAAGCTGTGAAAATCTTTTGTGCATTCAAAAGGCAAAAAAAAAAAGAACAAAGAAATCTCTATTACTAGACTGGGCAACAATCAAAAGGGAGGGGGTGTTACATCAGGCCTTGAAAAACACTAAACACCTACTAACTGAAGATAAACAAGACATGCTACACAAAACCCTCACCACAAGGTGCTAGGAATTAAGGAAAGATCACGTATTTCACAAAGTAATGATCAAGGTCCTGCTGCTTCCATACTCATCTATTCTAATGCTTCCAACAGCTTGGTGCCTGAAGATAAAATCCTTGGCATTTACTAACCTCTTACTCACACATGTATACACTAGTGATGGGCAAACAGCTCTTCCCATATTTGTTCCCTCCTCTATTGTAGCAGGAACTTTTGTCATTACTCAGTCCCATTTCCTTGCTGGAATACAGACAGGAAGCAAAGGGAAAACGGGTATTCCACAACCCCTTTCCCTTCTCAATCCATTCTACTTGCAGGAAATTCTTTTCAGTTCTCATTTAATCTAGAAAATGACAAGTAACCTTGTGATACACCAGTTGTGCTCCTGGGTGGCTTGCAGATTTCACTAACACAGCATCATACATAGCTCTCAACTTCCTTCTATTATTGTAAGTACTTGACATAGAAAGTTTCTCTCCTCACCACTGACAAGCATCACATTCAAACACCCTCTTTTTTAAGACAGTGCATATCCTTTGAAAAAGCGTTTCCACCAGGCACCAATCCCAAATTTCACATTAAAATTAGGTTTTCCAGAATTACAGTATTCAGTTACACCAGGAAAATTCTCTGTAGACCCCCCTTTCACAGAGAACACACCTATATCTGAAATACTGGGTCAGCCAGACTAGTTAAGACATCAGAAGAGCTAAATCAAAGGACAGATGGTTATAGGTGTGGGCATCACTGAAGAACAAAGAACAAAAAAAGTGGTTGTTGCAAAAAATAACTCTCAAGAATAGTGACAAAAGACAACTTACATATTTAACATGACGAAGGGGATGAAGGAAAAGCGTAAGAACTTCCTTCTAATATCTTACTAAAAGAAAGTAATTGCAGTTAATTTCATTTGGTAATTAGAAGAAAAACATAAAACCACCTTAATATCTCAGATTTATTTTTACAAAGCAGTAAATACAGCAAAATGAGAATCAATTCTCATCTCTGCAAAACATCATCATTAACAGAGACATCAGTCACTGAAAAAAAGCCCTGCTGTTCATAGGTGTTTGTGAGTGCTGATGTCCAGCCAGCCTGGTGTGCCAGGTACTTCTGATGCATCCCAGACAATTTATTACAAAATCAAACCTAAAATAAACCTTTACCGTATCTTAGGAAGCCTCAGCGATTCTATGATGTCTGTTGATAGCTATGCACAAAAAGAGGCGTGATCAAGCCTTGCACTCTTAGAAGCACTACTGCGGCCAGAAGCCAATTCATTTCTCTACAAAGGCAGGTGGTACATGAAAGGATTTTTTCTTCATGTCAAATGAAGCATTTTCAGATGTGGAATAAGGTTCTGCACAGCAGCGAGACACTAGAGCCAGGAACACAGACAGCACTCGTTCTGAGAGAGCAGCCTCTGCAACACAGAAACAGGAGCGGGTCCAGCAAATGGACAGGATGCCACCTGCCAACTTCCCTGCACGAATTCCTGGACACAATTGTGAACAACCCTTCTGTACAGAATTGCTGGTTTCCTCGGCGGGCAAAAATGCACATTTTCCCCAGAAGCACTAAAGCAGTAGCCAGCTCTATGCTGAGCTGCATTGCCCTCATCAAAAATAAACAAATGCGAGATCATTGCTAGAATTAAAACATGCACCCAAAGAGAAGAGGGCACAAGTTATACAACAGGACCCCTTGGTCGGAAATTGGATTTTTGCTCTTTCCATAGCTCCCAGACAACGTGGATCACAGGTCAAAATGCAAAGTAACAGGAACGTCAAAAACACAAAGACACATTAGTGAATATGACACCAAATTAGTGTTTTGAGATGTAAGCTTCATATCCTCCTCCTATTGCAACCTCAATACTGTAAGCAAGAGCTACCATTCTTGTGATCCACTAGCAAGCAGTGAAGAATAACTTAATCCCAACTTCATTCCCCTAAAACAGGAAATCTAAAGGAGAGTTAATCCTCCCAGCCTCTGTTAAAAACCTTCCCATGGAATGTTACTATGGCAAAGACACTCATTCAAAAAAGCAAAGATCAAAATAATGTACAACTGACATTTTGTTTCATTTTTAAAGAAAGCTGACAACCCCCAGGGTGATTTACAAATGTGTAATTCCATCCTGCAGTTAAAACACACCAAGACAATAGCTCACTAGACACATCTCAGTGAACTACATTAAACTGCCCAAATCTGTAGCAACATCCATTTACTGTAACAATATGTAGTTAGTCCTTTAAGCCAAAGAAGCTGCCTTTTTGCTCTTGTTTCAAAGCACAGCAGACCGCTGCCTGAACTGAGCTTGTGAAACAAAACAAGAACATCTAAAAAGCAGAAGAGCAACAAGTATATTGGTTCTTGACAGAGAAGTGACAGAAGATGGGAGAAGGGACTGCCAAAGTCTCAACATGAGGCAGAACAGAAATCTCCACTGGGTTCCAAGTTTTGAAAAAACGATGGGAAAGATTTCCAGACCCATTCAGAATAGGAATATTCCTTGCACATTCCGACCCATCTCCACATCCAGCACACCCCAAGGTCAAAAGCTGAGATTTAATTCCTTTGTTAATAAGGGTATTGCAACATCTGTCCCCCCCCCCTCAAAAAGAAATAAATCTAAGAAACAACTCTGGATGATATCACTGGAACGCATTCAAAATGCAATGCGAGTGTCAGAGCTGAGCTGCTGCAGTGGTCAGGTCCATAGAGCTGATGCACAGGCAAATTATTTGAGACATTTTGGTTGTGATCTGTGCCAATACAAAACCCCGGCATTACATGATGAAACCAAACCCTGTCCCTTTGATCCACTGCCAGCTAGGCCTGAGACAGTGTCAGGACACAGAAAAAAATGCCCTCTCATTTGCTACACTTCATGTCTTCCCACAGGAACTGGTCTCTTCCTCCTCATTCTATTTCCTGTACACAGAACAAGCCCATTGTCACTGGGTGAAAACACACACACACACCACTGACTTACCAGCTAGCCTACACTGACATAAATCTCCCTTTCGGCAGAGCGATCACCTGCGGCCTCGCAGTGTCAGCAGCACTGCCCGTGCTCCCGGCCCAGCGGATGGCTGTGCACCAGCTCCGGCCAGGCAGGGATGCAGCTCACCTAAGGAGACCTCCGGGACAGAGCAGGATGACAGCCACACTAATGCTCACAGCCATCCTCTCCCGCTCCCGGCTCTCAGCGGGGGGGATCCTCGCAGCCCAACCACCCCATCCCCTCGCCCGCGCCGCGTCCCTCCTCCCTTTCTCCTAATCCCTCCTACTCAGCCGCACTCCGATCTCAAGCCACAGCCCCTCCGCCACCAGCTCCCTTTATGCCCCAGCCCCCACCGCAGCGGGCAGCCCATGGCGAGAGGTCCGGCCCGGTGCTCGGGACCCCCTTCCCGCGGGGGGGCCCCGTTCGGCCCGGCCCGGCCCGGCCGGAAGGAGGCCGGCTCGAAGCACCCCCTGCGGCCGGCATGGCCCGGCCCTCGCCAGGGCCGCCCCCCCCCACCGCCACGGCCCGCAGCGCCCGCGCCCGGCCTCAGCCCCGCAGCTCACCAAGAGTAGGTCTGCTCCGCCATGGCTGCGGCTGGGCGGCCGGCCGGTTGGGCTTTGCGGGGCGGCCGGGCCCCGGGCTCCTCCTCCGCCTCCTCCTCCGCCTCCTCCTCCGCCTCGCAGGCTCCGGGGCTCAGTGGCGGCCCCGCTGCGGCTCCCGGCCCAACATGGCGGCGGCTGTGAGGAGGGAGGGGAGCGAAGGGGGGGTCCCCGCCCGGGCGGGGAGGGGATGGCGGAGAGGGCGATGGTGGTGGCAGGGGAGAGCGGAGGCTCAGCAGCCGGGACGCAGGGCCGCGCTGGGGCGCCGGCGGGGCCTCATGGCCGGCGAGGCGGCGGCGGCGGCGAGGGGCGGGGCGGGGGCGGGCAGGCGGCGGGCACCGGGCGGCCGGGGCAGGCCGCGCCGCGCTCGCGCACGGCGGAGGCGGGACCGCGCGAGGGGCGGGGCGAGGGATCACGTGCCCACAACACCCTCACGTGCCGGCGCCGGCCGCGCGCAGGCGCCGTGTTTGAGAGAGAAGGCGGTAGCAGCGGCAGGCTGGTTGTCGGGCCCGGCTGCGCTTCGCGGCCCGCTCGGGGGGGTTCACCCGCACTCCGCGCCAGGCCGTGCCCGGTGTCCGGAGGAGGGAGCGGGCGGAGAGGCGGAGCTTCCCCCGCTAGAGAAACGGAGCGCCAGCGGCGGACGGCTTTGAGCCGGGGCCGCGGCCCCAGCCCACCCGTAGCAGGACAGCGTCGAGCTCCCGGAGCCGGGGCGGTGCTTTTGTTCCAGCTAGGCCGCACGCGTGATCTCGGCCGCCGGGAGCCGAGCGGGGCCGGGTGCTGCGGGCAGGGCCGCCCCGGGGTGGCGAGGGGCCGGGGAGGGCGAGCGGGACACGGCTGCTCTCCCCGCGGCGCTGGCGCCTCGCAGGGGGACGGGAGCCCGAGGGCGTTGGGCCGCTGTCGCGGTGGGTTTCCTGCTGGAGCAGGGGTAGATGCAGAGTTCAGTAGGGTAACTCATGGATTAGGGTGTTCAAATTCACAGTGTGTTTCTGGAGAGTGGTACATCTTGGGATTTGTTCTCTTAAAGCAAGCAGATAGGATAAAACGCTTAAACTGCTTCGTAAAGGAAGGAAAATAAAGCTCAAGTTACATGGACCAAATAAAATTCATGTGCTTCATGTTATCACAAGCCCTGTATGGAACCCAGGCAAATCCCAGCCAGAGGAACCATCAGCGCTTGGTATGGGTGGTGCTGCTGCCAAACCTTTGCTCCTTATGTTTGTGCCAAATGCAGAACCAGTGGCCTGTCTTAGACTTGCTCGCTTGAGGACTTCTCACCTCCTATTATTTCACTTGCAGTGATTTGTGGGAGTGGGGCTTTGGGGAGTTCAGAGCAATTGTTCCAGTCCAGCTGTGCAGTCTCATTCATTGTTCCTTCCAGTGTGGGAGGGAGAAGAGCCAGTTTTAGCTTGCAGCTGGAGGTGAGGTAACAGCATTAAAAATAAAGAACAATGCCCAGGTCTGGTAAAAATAGGTATTTGTTAAAAAAAGAAATAAAAAAGATAAATTTTATGCCTTAATAGAATTTTGCTGAATTAACGGGACATTCTCATTACATCTACAGAGATGCCACATGCCTCTAAAATGGCATTTGGAGCCCACTGGAGTTTATTGCTGTTAGTTAATTAAATAAATAATTTCCAATTTGTCCATCTCATTTGTGCTTTTAAGTGGATAAAACCTGTGGCTGGTGAGCAGTCATGACATGGAATTCAAAGTAAGGAACATCTCATTTATTTTCAGTTCTATTACCAGCTGCCTGTGTAATCTTAGGTGCTCCCTTCATCTCTGCTTAGTTCCTTCACCAATAGAGGGGAAACTGCACCGCATCACAGCTACCTGAGGTTCTGGGGTGCTGCCAGAGGAAGATGCTGCATATGTGACACAGGCTTACTTGGTCTCAGTGCAGGGGATGCCTTGGATGCTTGTGCTTCAGCTAAGCAGTGCTGTTGGGAAGATGGTGCTGGACTTGGAAGGCTTCTCCCCCTGTATGCCTGTATCTTCAGGCATTGAGAACAAGCCACGTGGGTTGTTGTTACCTCAGCATTCAAACTCTGTGATTTTCACAGCCCTTTGGCCTTGAGGACAGGAATGACCTTAGAGCTCCTGACATCATCAGTTCTCCACCCACTAACAGAAATCTGCTTGAGATCTAGCTTTATCAGCTATGAGGTGGCAATACTCAAAGTACCATGACTGACTAGCTTTCTGGGATGCCTGCTGGAGTCAGACTGGCAGCTAGGTGTGCAGGAAGGAGTTGATGGTGAGGAATGCTAGTATGTCCTCTCATCCAGCTCAGGCTGGGCTACCTTGAGAAGCTTCCTCCCCTATTTGGTCATATGCCTCTTTGCCTTTCAACTTCCACCCCATCTGCAGCACTTGTGCCAGTCTCAGTAGACAAAGGAAATGGTGGTGGGTGGGATAAAAGGAGAGAGGGGCAAGTCATGAGCAGGATCCTGAGCTGTGGGGTACACAGCAGAGTCATTTGGCTTTTGTTGGGAATTCTGGTGTTTCCACGTGCACACGTCTCCTCCTAAAAAAGTGCTCAGGCTCTGTGTAGCACTTGCACAATGGAGAAGCTCCCTGCTTGTATTCTCTGTCAACATACCTGGAAAATCTACAGTAGCAATTAGAAAATGGACAAATAATGTGGAATCTCCACTGTGCTGCATCCCTAGTGTCTCTGGGATGCCTGTTCGTCCTACTCTTTTCACTGGCTGTGACAGAGCAAATGCAAGAGGAAAAAAAACTCTCCATCCTTTAAAATTGATGCAGAGAAAGATAAATCAGTGCTTCAGCCTTCTCTTGGTACTAAAGAGCTTTTCTTATTTTCTCCCTGAGATTAGGATGTAAAACTGATATTTATCTATGAAACAATATCCCTGCTTCACGTCCATATTGAAATAGATTCCAGTTTTTCAGTCTTGCAAGATTTCCAGCACATTAATTCAGCACAAATGATTTCTAGTTGATGAACAATTAAAGTGTATTTCTTTTTCATCATCTCAGGCTCTGTGACTGGATTACTAAATGACTTTTCAAGCTTGCTCTGTCATTACAGGTTAGCAGTGGGATGAATTCACAGGAGAAATTTCTTCCTCCTTGCAGACCCAGCATCTGCTCTTACTGCAGATCGGAGCAGGACTGGAACTCCCCAGATAATCTTCTCAGCATAGCTTTTGTACAGTATTTCTTTGGACCTACAAGGAAGCTTTACTCTAAATTTCAGTTTATTCTGACATTCCAGAGTCCTTCCACACTACCTGTGCTGTCTGGAACATTTGATGTAGACAGATGCATCACTTGGACCTGTCAGGGTATTTCAAACCCAGCAACAAACAGGATTTCTTTTTTCTTATGTTTGGAAGAGTAATCTTCTTAAGAATAAGTTCACAGGGGTAAGTGTGGTGGAGAAAAATCAGATTAAGGTACTGGTTACAAAGAGTCCTCGCCTCCAAATCGCTTAAATGTCATTAGGTGACATTTATCTAACATGTCTTGATTCTGCGATGCTGGAGGTGGAAAGAGAACCAGAGTAGCTTCATGTAGACACTTCACCTTTCAGGAAAGGACATGACAGGTATAGTTGTCAACACTGCTTGGTTTTGGGAGGAACAAATAGCATGGAAATGAACAGAAAGGGAAGGCAAAAAAAACAAACCAAGAGGTGCAGTTCTGTCAGTGTAGCTGAGAGCTACACTAGGCTATTCTGCTTGTAATGTCCTTGTGGGATTCCCCTCCATAAAAAGAATTGAAATGTGCACTGACCAGTACCTGTGACATGATTCTCTTCACTACCACCTAGTGGGAAACTTCTTCACTAACCGAATTCCAGAGTTGCTCCTGCTCTGCAATCTCATCCTCACCCTAATGGTAGAAACAGTGAGTAAGTGAAGGGGGAACAGATGGATGACTAGGAAGATGCACACAGGGCTCTTTTTTCCCATGCAGGAAAAGGAACATGGGGAAAGAGAACTTGTAATTGAAGCCCATCGTACCCTATAGCATTGTCACACCATGCCTTGTAGCTCTGCAGCCAGGCCATGGTTTTTACACCTCAGTCTCACTGAGACTCCCAAAGTTTAACAAATATTGGCTTTGGAGATGAAGAGTAAAACGTGTTCTCCTGGATGCAACTGAGTCCCACAAACAGGGGTGAGGAGACACTTGGGGGAAGTTACTCCAGTGTCTCAGTGAACAGGTAACCTTGCCCCCTTCTTGGCTCTGAAAGTTCTGGTGGTTCTGCTTGATTGTACTACTGAAAATATGGAAGGAAGGAGGCACCAAAGAAAAAAGCAGCTTCCTTCTCTGTAAAAATCATATTTTCGATTCTAATCACATATTTACAGCAAAACCTACCAAATTAAAACATAAATGAGTATATATTTGAAACATTAAACCCATGTATTCAAGTGAAGCCTTTCCCACTGAGATACTCGGGGGGTTGTACAAATAGCTGAAATCCAACCCTGTGAAAGCAGCATATAAATGACAATTACCTCAGATTTTTCACTCTCCTGTGTGCCTTTTGGGACTAAGCTCCCAATGCACAAATAATAATCAGTTTGGGGACTTACGTAGCTTGCTTTGCCCCAGTGACAGAAATAAGGGTGAACATTACAATAATAGCTCTCACGTTTCAAGGAGGGAAAGATATTAATGTCATTGAAGCCAATAAAGCATTTAGCTGTCTCAGCAGGAAGAACAGTAAAATGGTAAAGGATTATTAAAAGAACCATATCTCTGTGTTTCTTTTGCCAAAAGCAATTTTGCCACCCTATTCAGGGATCTATACAGGCTCTCTGCTAGCACTTTCATCATAAATATATTTAGGCTTTTTCCCTTCTCTCTATGCTCCTTAAAAAGCTGTATTACATTGGCTTTTCCCAGCAAATCGCTGTTTTTTGTGTACATTCAATGGATGTAATCCAGTAAATTGAAACATCAAAGGTAAAAATGGTGTTGATACAAGAAGTGAGGCCTTCCATTACGTTTACAGCACTATACTGTCCATTACTTTTGTTTTGCCCTAGTGTAATAAGCAAAATACAAACCAGTAAGTCTAAAACAAGAACAATGTTCCTACTGGATACCCATTTATAACTTCATGCAGTTGTTCTCAGTGTAAGTAACCCACTTGATTAGTAATTCAACTACTTTACTACATGTAGGGAGAAGGGATTAAAGTGGAAGTTAATCAAGACAGACTATTATTTACCAATAAAATAGAATTCCATTAGATGAACCCTGTATGGATATTGGGGAATGCAAGGAGCCCAGTTTTATATGAGAGCTGTCACACAATGTTACCAGTCTGCTACTTCAAAAGAAAACAATTTTAAAACCACAGTGCATAGAAGTTGTATTAAAGTGTGTGCAAGAGAATGCAAAGTAGTTGAAAATGTTTAAATAATCTTTATTGAACTTGCCATTAAAATAAAATTGAAATCAGACTTCTTGTGATTACTCATTGATATAATTCCTCCAATTTGCATCCATACTGTTTTGTTAATGTAACACTGCTAGTGAGCTTGCTAGTAAGCTGACCAGTTTATAGTGGTGTAAAGCTGTTTCTGTCTTGCCAATGAAGCACTAATTTTGAGGGGCCTCAACCACCATATTAATTACACCTAATGAAAACCAAGTAATTCTGCAGGGTATAAAACACAAAACCAGACACTGCAAATGAGGGGAAAACAAGCAGCTGTCTTCAAAAGTTTCCCCTATCACAATTACAGTTATCACATTAGTCACCATGACTTGAGAATCCAGTCACGGCCAAGCAAATTGTTGCAATTAAGGAAATCAACATATACTGAGCACTGGTAATAGGTGAAAATGGGGATAGCAAAAGGAAAACTTCTTCTTTCTAATAGTCATCCTCAAGGCAAAATCCCTGAGTACAATTCAGTTACAGGAGACTGTTGTCTGAATTATGGCACTGCACAATTTAGTTCTTGCTCTACTACTGGGACTAGATCATTTTAAAGTTTTGCAGCTTCCTCCCTTGGCCTCTGCTATTCTTATTTACTCAGAACTGCACATCATGGCATTTGTAGTATAATCCTTAGTGCCAGGGTATAAAGTAGGGGTGCTGGCTAATTCACAACAGGAATCTCCTTCAGTCTGACCACTAGCAACTTGCAACATTTAAGAAACACTGAAAAGCTCATTGTTTTTCCTGCACTGAAGAATCTGAAATACTTAACTGGAGTGCTGAATTATCCACTAGCACAGTCTGGCAGGTTACAGTGAAGGTAAAGATGGAAGCATGGAAGTTTGCTTGTTTTGTTAATTGTCCAGGCTCCTCCAGTTTAAAATGGACAATTCTAATAGACCAGAAAGCCCTTCAGGACAAACTGATAGAGAACATTTATTTACCTCCTCCTCAGTATTTGAAAGGCTTACATATTCAGCTGAGGATTTTCCACATGGCATCCAGTTGTAATGTTCAGTGAGGTCCTAACATACAAACAGATGTTCATTTCTGGTTTGATAGACTTCAGACTTCACTGGTTTCAAGATAGGCTGTTCTAAAAGCCTCCACAGCTGAAGGTCTTCAAGGCAAACAGAAGCACCAGCATCAGGACTTCTGGGAGCATAAGGAATCTTTGAAACCACATAATACAGATAGATCATTTGTTGCTATGTTTTCTTCTCTTTACAGTTCCCATTGGCAAATATCACTGTTCTTTGTCTAAACTTAATGGTTTGTGTCCACATCCCCTCAAGCATCCCCCAGCTATATTATATATTCTTACAGAACACAGATTTGACAATCATTTGAACAACAGCAATGGTAATATTTTCCATCATAGTTTAGGTAAAAGAAATGAGCATGTCAAAGACAGGCAGAAATAAACAACACAGTATGACAGAATCTCCTCCGTCACATATTGCAGGAGCCCCACTATCTGTTCTGTTTGCAGAGTCCTTGAATTATAAGGACATACCATACAGAAACTCTGTGTCACGGTTGGAAAGTGTAATTACAACTGACAATTAGTGTTATCAGCCAGTAATATTGGTGTGTCTACCTGGGTGGAGAGATGAGAAAAACTGTAATAAAAAAATAAAATGCATGGAAACGAAATCAAAATATTGACAGGAATGCCAAAAAAACCCTCACCATTCTTTACATACTAAAAACCATCTTTAGAAGCTCAATGAATGTTCACATGAAAACTTCTTACATTAAACGTTTTTACATGGACTCCAAAAATGCTCTTTTTAGCCACACAAAGTCTTCTGGATCCACCCAAGCCTTTTTGAACTCACTGTAGGGAGGTGAGCTGGTACTCGGCTGCCATCTGAAATGAAAGCTAACAGTTAACAACAGCCTGGATGGAGGGGCCAGCTTGCTGTGCCTGGAGGGAGGAAGGGGTCCAGTCTGCAGAAAAGCTTTGTCCCCCAGCTGCTGACTTAGCATGTTGTCACAGGAGCCTGGAGCACAGCTAGTGGTGCCCACAAAGGGAAAACAGGGGCCAAGGTCATTCTGCAGCATTGTCTGGAGACATTACCCACTCCGGGGACAGTCCTACTGCTCTTAGCTTAGGCTCATGGGTGTGTACTGAGAGGGATAGGAAACCTTTACTGAGTCAACAGCTTTAAAAGAACAGAAATCATTTGCATGGGATGCTTGTGTGTCCAGTCCACATGTGCACATCAAGTTATTCTCTAAAGTAGCCACTCAAAATGGATAAACTCGTTCATATATTTTCAGACAAAGAAAATTCAGAAAAGACGGTTTAGTCACAAGGACTCCCCAAGAACTGCCCTAAACAGTTCCAGCTGAGCTAGCAAACCAAAGGTGGGAGCAGAACCTTAGAGCAGGGCTGGTATCAGGAAGGGATGGAGGTAGATAATAAATGGGAACCACAAGCCTGGCCAGAGCACTCCTCAGAAGAAGCAGGTCAGGGACTTTCAGCATAAACCAACACTATTCCTTATCAGATGCTTGAATCATAAGCTCAGTGGGGCAAGTCCTGTAATCCCCCAAATTATGTGGGTACACTGCTTCTGATCATCAACTGAACAATAAACACAGCAAGTTATAATCGAGGTACTTGTATTTGCATATCAAGATACTCAGCAAGCCAAAGCCAGAAGTGAAAAAGTCATTTAACACTTGATGTGCTGCCACAGGATTCACCTGGAGCTCTGCAACATCCCCTGAGTCTTGGGAATATTCACATAGACGCAGTGGTCACACTTCTGTGCTGGGGGGACGCACAAAGGCCAATGAAGCTGCCAGTGTGGCTTTCTCTCAGCCCAAAGCCTTTGGCAGGGGCTGAGACTGGCTGATCCTCACCCTTGCTAGAGCTTTGAGTGGGCTCTACTACCTTCCAAGGGCAGCACCTTCACTTGAACCACGCGCAGCCAAAAGCACATTTTCCTTTTGGGTACACCACCTCCTTCCTTCCCTAAAACTAATGGGCCCACAATAAGACACATTTCTCCACCCTCATTTTCCTCCTTTTCTTTCTGTATCTTACTTTTCCATGCTGCCAACCTTCCATCCCTTCATTTTCCTCTCCTTCTCTCTTCTATTTCCCTCCCTTTCCCCCTCCCCCTTTCTCTCTCCCTCTGTACTTTGTGAACTGCTGCGGCAGTGCTGAAGTCCAAAGTTCAGTAACTTGCTAAGTACACAGATAAATATGAACCTTGGAGAATTTACATTGCTCCAATGTAAACAGATAGCCAAGGGTCCCTTTATCAGCACTGGCTCAGGACAGTCGTGGGGGGTCTGAAGTGGCTCCATTTTGTATTTTGGGGGTTTTTGGGGGGTGTAGAGGCGGGAGGCTGCGCCTTGCCCACTCTCCTGACAGTCAGGCACGTCACGCCGGGAACATGGTGTAGGGAAGCTGGAAGCAGGATAACCCGAAATCCAAATCCAAGGGACACCAGCCTGAAGACCATGGTCTCGAAGCTGAGTCATCTTCAAGTGGAGCTGCTGGGAGCGCTGCTGGAGTCGGGACTAACCAAGGAGACCCTCATCAAGGCGCTGAGCGAAGTGGAACCCTATGCGCTCCAGAGTGAAAGTCAGCGCGCTATCAATGCCCTCCAGACAGAGAAAGGGGAACCCTGTCCCGACATCCCCAATGGAATGGGGGAGTCCAGGTTATCGGAAGATGAAACCTCTGATGATGGGGAGGAATTTACCCCTCCAATAATGAAGGAGCTGGAAAACTTGAGCCCCGAGGAGGCTGCTCACCAGAAGGCTGTGGTGGAAAGACTATTACAGTAAGGACAGATTTGCTGCTCCTCTTTGCCGCTTTCTTACACTCTCCCTCTGAATCTCTTTTCCTTTCCCCTTGCGCTCAATGTCCCTTGTATTCACAGTTGATCTAGTTGCATGGAGGCAGTCTTCATCCCTGCTGGGACTCACAACACCCCCACATTCTTTATAAATACTCAAACTTTCCTTTCATCTCACTTTAAATGCATGAAAGGAGCCTGAATGCGTATTTGATGTGCTTATATCATCAGGCTTCAGAACAGTCTGAGGCTTGAATAACTTGAATCTCTCTGACTGAATGATAGGTTTTAGGATTTATATCTTAAAGAGGATTCCATCAGGAAAGGTCACTCTTAACTGGAGCTGTATTTGCCTGAGTCTGTACAGTAAAGTCAAGTTGTGATGTTTTCCTGCTCTACTTAATGAAATGAATACTGTTCATTTCACTAGTTTTTGCAATAGATTATTGGCCAAAGACAAACCAAGAGAACCTGTTCTTGTCATTCAAGTGAGTGCAAAGCTCTCCTGACTTCAGTGGGGATTTGTCTTGTAGAAAGAGCACACACCAAATACATGCAGAGGTTAAAACCCGAGCAGAACACTCTGCTTCTGCCATCCACAGCCTGTCACAACTACAAAGTACATCCACAGCAACAATGACAGGTTTTACTGCCATGCAAATTTTCCTTTGCATCTGAGCATTTCTGAGATCAAAACACAATAAGCCTGAACCAATAAGCCTCACAACAGACTCAGAAAAACATTCACTAGGATTCCCATTTGGGATTCTTGCTAAGATCCAGTTCCTATGGGTGATCTAAGAGGTTTGTCCAAGCAAGGATCAGGTCCATCCAACCCATCTATCATAACAGAACCAGATCCTTGCCCGTTTGTTTTGTGGGTACTTTGATGTGATGAGCTGAAGGCACCACCACGCAGTAACATCCTGCACTTAGAATCTGCACTAAACCCAAATCCATCTAGAGAGTTTCTCAGGCTTTCTGACCACTCCCTTGCACGTGCAAAGGAAGTTAACAGAAAATGTAACAACAAGAAGCAAACATCAAACCCCACCACAAAAGGCCAGAGCTGTATAAACAGCATGAAGAGTTAGCTTTCACTGTAAGCACTTAGGAGAAGAAAGCACCCTGGCAGCCTGGGGGTTGATGACTCTGCTGTAGTACCCAAGAGAGGAAAATCCACTGGATCAGCTCTTACCTGGGTGGGGAAAACATTCCCAAAATCTCCATCTTCTTTCTGGCCCAATACGTGTCTCATCTCTTCCCACTCACAGCTGTGTCACATCTTTTAGGCTCCTCTGTTTTCTTTATGACTTTTCCATTCTTTTTACATGTTTCCTTTCTCTCTTCACTTTTATCTCTGCTTCTATTCCCCCCATTTTGTTTTTTCTTGGCTAATTCTCTCTCTCCCTTACCCTCTTTTTCTTCCTCTCATCCTTGTCTCCTTCTCATCTTCCTGAGTCTGCGTACAGGTCTTGGGGTAGTTTGAGCCCAGTGGCACCGGGCGGGCCCTGGCTAGTTACTAATTATCCAATGGCTTTATTATTTCTCTTTTGTCTTATAAATTTATAGATGAAAAGACCCTGATAAGCTTTTTGATCATTAACTTCTGATGGTTTATCAGGTATCTCTCCACTAAGGAAGCCATGGAAGGTGAAGAGCAGCACCTCGCTTTGTAATGAATGGGTGAAGCAGGATTAAAGTGCCATCTGCTGTGATCTAAGAACAGATATGCAGATGAAGGGAATTCCTTCCTGCCACCCTCACCAGCATGAATCCTGGTTTCTGATCCTCCCTGCCTTTTTAGGAGCTTGCAGCCAGTCTTTCCTGTGCTTACTACCAGCCTCACCACAACAGTCTCACCTCTCTTGCAAACCTGTGATAGTAATGCTTTCCGATGAACAGTCTCACACCTCTCTCCATACAGTCACTTGAGCAGCATTCCCATTTTACAAATGGGAACTGAGGTACAGAATGATTCTATGACCTCTCTAAAACCCTAAGATAGCACAGAGAGGACTGGGCAAGAACAAGGATCTCCAAAGCCTTATACTGGGTCTTACTTGCAAAGCTTTAGACTGAAACATCAGAGTTGTCTTTCCTCAGTCCCCTCTATCACAGGATAGAGCAACTCGCTTCTGCAGTTGGGGACAGTATGAAGGGACCAGAGGCCTCAGTTTCAGCAAAAAAATATGAATATACTTATGGAGGATTGTAACAGATCAAAATTAGTCAAGGTAAAATGAGAACAGTAGGAAGTCTGTATTGACAGGATTAAAATTCCTACTCAAATATTAAAACAGAGCAGCTGCATGTCTGAGAGCCTATTCAAAGTGTCTGATCCACTATCAGGGTTCAATAACTTGCAAGCAGTTGTTACCTACTAATAAACTTTGTTTGTTTCTTAAGACCAAACCTTTCCATTAGAGATGCCTAGAGGTAATGTCCTTAGAACAGTACTGTAAGCATTGTAAGGCAGGCAGAACAGTTTACAGATAAAAGAACTGGCAGGCGAGAATCTCCATGCACGGAGATTCCCAGTAAATATTCAATGCTTAGAAGTTATTTCAGCATCTACACTAGGATTCCAAACCAGAAACCAGATAGAAGCACTTCTACCCTCAGGCAGAAGCCTCTTGGCGTTATTAACAATTCCTGACCTAATGCTGTAGACCACATTTTAACTCAGAGATTGACTTGTGGGCAGCTATTAGTGATACAAGAAAGTCTTTGTGGTAACTGCAGCCATTGCCTATAAGGTAGAATTAGGAAAGTGTCCATTGACAGGCTTTCCAGGAGCTGGGAAGGAAAAAAATGGCAACACCAAGAGACCAAGTACGTCCTTGCAGGACTATTACGGCTGAAACCACAGTTTGGAAAGCACTGGTCAAAGCTGTGTAAAACAGGATGTAGAGAAGATACATCCCCATGATGGTATGAACCTGTGGGGATTGATTAGAGTTTGTCCCTACAGAACAAAACAATGCCAAAGGTAGTCCAGACAAAGGTTTCTCTAGTGAGGAATTCCCAACATCTCTTGCTGTCCTTCAATCTGTCTTGCTGATCATCCATAGGTTTACAGTTTGAATAAAAACATTCTTTCCCTATTACTCCACACAGAGAACAAATTGCAGCTATGATAAAGAATAACTAACTCAGTAGGGAGATAGAGCTGTGTGGAGTAATCCCCTGATATTCCCAGAGAGAGGCTACCTTGGGGGAAGGGACGGATCACACTATCACAGGTACAGCAAACGGAGGGAGGTAGAGCAGCAATCCACCTGTAGGGCAAGGGGTGAAATTCCATGAGGAAAGAGAGAAATTGAGATAAGCAACAGACTTCCCCTGGAGGCAGGGATAAAAGCACATATTCCATGAGGGGAAAAAAGAAAACAAAAGATAAAATGATAAAGGTTCGGTCTTTTCCTGCCCTTAGAATGGCTCTAGTTGGGGAATCTGGAGATGAAGCTGCCACACCCCTTTCATTTCCACATATAAAGCAAGATGAGGCAAACCAGGCCAAGTTCAATAGAAAAGAACCCTGATGGGATGGTCTTACCTTGCCTGCTCTCTGCCTAGCCCCGCTCCAGGCTCTGCACTGCCATCAGTGAGGGTTGTCTAGCAGGCTCCACACGAAAGGGCCAGAGGATGGTCCTGAGTACTTCTCTGAACCTCTGCTTAAGCAAGGTCTGGTCCAAAGCAGCAATTCAGAACCCACCTCAGGGAAATGAAGGTTTCTCTTGCCTGAGAATGTGAGAACAGGGAAGAAGAAAAGGAGAAACAGAGAGAATGGGGAAGAAGAGGGAAAAGAAAGGAACAAAGGAAAAAGAGAAAAGTCGGGAAGAGTGAAGGAGGGAGAAGGTCCCCTGAATGTTACATCTCCAGCCCTCTGGAATGGGTTTTCTTTAATGCTAACAACTTGATATTTACTTTCCATTTAAATTTGAGATGTTGCTATAAATTATCAACCAGCCTCTTGTTCCCTTTGAGTTTATAACTAACTACCTGGGTTACTTATTGTTCAGGTAACAAAAGGGAGGTGAAAACGCCCTTAAAAAGTGACCTCAGAACTAAGAAAATGGGAAGCTGGTCTGGAAAGAGGACCCAGGCCCCTGTGGTTGAGATGAGCCAGGGAGAGGGGTTACACTCAGATGGCAATAGGCAACTGACAGCAGGAGAGCAAGATTTAGGAAGAGTTTAAAACTAACTGTGACAAGAATTTGGAGACAGGTATTAGACCTTGGAGAACAAGAAAGGAGTGGGGAGGCAGCTTGCATGTGGGGGGAAAAGGAAGCCAGCAGGTAGAGAACTGCCTTGGAGATAGAGTTTGAGCAAGGCAGACCCACTTCCGCAGTTCTGACTCACTGAACCAACTGAGATGTCAGTGCAACTACACACAGGGAAACCAGGTTTAGGGTGAAATCCTGCCCTCTGACAGCCAGTCACAGTCTCACCACCAGTGAAACAGCGAAGGTTTCAACTTGTGATGTCTTAGTCAATGGTGAAAGCTCTGCAGGTGGAACTAGGCATGTGAGCAATAGTTCAGGCAAGGGTTCAGCTGACCAGCTGCCATCACTTGTGCTGTGATGTAGCCTTGGGCCTAAAGGAATTGCTACATTGATACTGTAGCCTGTGCTTTGACTATGTACAGAGTAGCTAGGATGCTGTACAACTGTCTTACGAAATCACACTGTACTAAGGTCCCCCTGCACTGTTTTGCCTCACAAAGCTCCCTGCTTTGTCTCAAAAGAAGACAGAAAAAACACAGGGCTTTAACCATTGTCAGAACAGACTCATAAATACTTCCTGCCACAAAGAAGTGAGGATCTCAACAGGGGAGATGAAAGTAACTCATGATTGGGGTGCAGGAAGGAAATCAACATGAAACAGAGGTTTCCATCAGTGGCAACACAGTCCTTCCTCTTCCCATCTGAGCCAGAATCTAAGAGACCGGAGATTCCAAATCAGAGCCTTTTCTCCTTTGTATAGGGACTTGTGTAATGAATTCAGGATGCAGGTGCTGGCTCGGCTGTCACAAATACAAAGTGGGGAGATTGGTCCTTGGTTTGGACAGCAGGAGAAGAAAAAAAGAACACCATCACAGCTAGGAAAGATAAGCTTTTGTAAGTTCAGCTAATTTGAAGTTTTTGAAAGACAAAGATGGTTAAGGGAAGAAGCTAGAACATAGAAGCCTCTATAACAAGCATCCCACCATAAAAAAGGAACAAATGTTCCTATTTTAAGCAAGTAGGTTCTTCAGAAGGCTGTAACTGACACCGTTTCTGTCACACTTTAACTGCAGCAGAGCTTGCTCCTTGGACTATCCAGCCACTGGGAGACAGCAGCAGGGGAACAGAGATAAGGGTGTTTGTACTGAGAGAACAGGTGTGGACTTTGTCCTCCTTATCACTTTGCAGCCTCCGCTAACCTCCTGAGTCAACAAAGCAATGAGCAGTACAGCCGTTGCCTGTACAGTTGGTGCTTGTTGCTCAGACCTGTGTTCTTGTGACAGTTTCTGCACAATCCTAAGTATCTTCTTTTGCCCCGTTGCTGCTTTGGTGCTGGCGTTGGACATGTGTATTCCTCCAGCATGCAAACCACTTCCACCAGGCATTTCACACAGAAAGCACATTAGGATGCTCTTTGTTAAAAGTGAACCAGAGGCTTTTAGGTAGAGAGGCTCCTGCACTGCTTAGATCCAGACTGGCGGGTTTCACATCTTTAGTTTTACTGTGATTTTCAGCTCTGGCAAAATCAATACACACAAATAAAGTCACAGTCATGTTTTCTCTGTATTCCTTAGGAACCTTCATGGATACTCTAATCAGAGATCCTAAAGGGCAGAGATTCACATTTGCTGTGAAATCCCAAATCAGATTAGCTCCTCAAGTTTTGTGAGCAGGTCTCAAACAGGTCTACTCCCTAAGCTGCTACCTCAAAGGAGGGCGGCAGTTGTAGGAATTAATGGTTTGCCTGTTGTTCTTTATTGTATTTATAAGCTATGAGTGGTTCTAGATGTGAATCAGTGTATTTGAGTAACGTAACAGATGTGCAAGAACATAATCCTGGATGGCTTGATGTGTACATGTGCATACATGGCTGTCACATCACAGTATAATGAGAACCTGTTTTCTTTTCCTGAATCACTGCAAGGCAACCCAACCTGGATCAGAATCAGGCCATGAGCTGGGTTCAGCCTAGTATCACAATGAATCTGTCTTGGAAAATTAAGTACACCTGCCTTTAGCTGTACTTTAAAGCACCTGTGCTTTAAAGAAAGAGGGATAGAGCGGAAAAGTCCTGTAGGGAAATGGAAGACTGTGGTCAATTCTGGAAAAGAGATCTGTACTCAACAAACATCCAACTGAATACTGAAATGCAACATCACTTCCCTCCTCGTACCATTTCTCACTAGCAGCAGAAGTGCTTTATATTCACATTACTTACCAGCAGAGAGCTCCGTTCAGTGCCCATGTCACTCCTCAGCACTTTCTGTCATTTACAGATGACAACTACCTAGACAGAACAGCCCAAGAGCCCACATACAAATGAGCACAGACAGCACATACTGTGGTCGTGTACTGGGAAATTTCCTTGATAAGCAAAGAGCTCCCTTCTAAGGGGAGATCCAAGTACCTACAGAGACAGTTTACAGGAAGCTAGTGCTACCTCTTTTGCACTTCATCTCTAATACCATGCAGTTTTTACCCTGAATGCAGAGTCAAAACTGCACAAAGCATCCCACTGAAGAACAGCTTTCCATTGCACAGCCACTTACACTTGCACTCTGGCCTCACCAAACGCACTGGTGATGACTGCCATGCAAGGTGCATCTCAGGAGGTAACTGCACTTCCTTGGAAGCCAGGTTTGCCAAGTGCAGGTCTTTGATCTCTCTCTCCTGAGAACTGTTTTCTGCTCCTTCCAGAGAGGATCCCTGGCACGTAGCAAAGATGGTGAAATCCTACCTCCAGCAGCACAACATCCCTCAGCGTGAGGTGGTGGACACTACCGGTCTGAACCAGTCTCACCTCTCACAACACCTCAACAAGGGCACTCCCATGAAGACCCAAAAAAGGGCAGCCCTCTACACCTGGTACGTCCGCAAGCAGCGAGAGGTGGCTCAGCGTAAGTATGGCAACAACTGCTCTCCTGTCTCAGCTTCTTAAAGGCCTCTGGCTTTCCCTTGCTAATCCTTACTCCCTATTTTTGTCAAGGAAAACTGGAAAGAAAAGCCACTTTTAGCAGGAAGATTAGAGACTCCTAGGTCAGTGTTCAGTGGTGGGGTGAACCATAACCACTCCCTCCTGAAGCAGCCTGCAATCACCCACCCCAGCCACCATTTGGCTAAAGAGAAGCAAACTAATATTCTCCATTTGCCATTAGAGTTCTACACCCATCCTCAGACTAAAGCAGTGCAGTGGACAAACAAGAGAGAATTTCTGCCCAAGAACTAAGCTTCTGCAATTTCAGCTACAGCAACAGTTGCTCTAGCTGCAGAAAGCAGCAGGCTGCTATATTCACAGTGAAAATCCACCTCATGCCTTCTAAGCCCCTCCTTACAGGCACCCACTGAGACCCATCCATGCAGCATGCATTTCTATATTCATGAGCCTGCCTGGAATGTGTCTTTCCTAATTTTGTAGTGGTGGGTTGCAAATAAACTTGAGACATTTGGCTTTTGGATGGTTTTGGAAGCAGGACTACAGTCATGGGTCACAACAACCCAATGCAACACTACATGGAGTTGGGGAAAAGTGGCTGGAAAGCTGCCAGGAGGAAAAGGACCTGGGGGTATTGGTCAACAGCCATCTGAATGTGAGCCAGCTTGTGCCCAGGTGGCCAAGAAGGCCAAACAGCATCCTGGTTTGTATCAGAAACAAGTGTGTCCAGCAGGGCCAGGGTGATGCTGCACCTCCAATACTGTGTTTTGGGTCCCTTACTACAAGGAAGTTGAGCTGCTGGAGCATGTCCAAAGAAGGGCAGCAAAGCTGGTGAAAGGCCTAGAGAAGTCCTCTTATGAAGACTGGCTGAGAGAACTGGGGTTGTTTAGCCTGGAGAAAAGGACATGTAGATGTGGCACTTAGGGACATGGTTTAGTGGTGGACTTAGTAGTGCTGGGTTAATGACTGGGCTCAATCTTAAAGGTCTTTGCCAACCTAAACAATTCTAAGACTATGCCTACTCTAAACTCAGCTGCATTTGCCTTCACTACTCCAAGGTGTGAGCAGAAATGCAATGCATGCAAGAGAAAAGATGGGTAAACGGCCTGCTAGGAACATCTTAACAGTTTTAGCAGATTATGGAACTTTATTTCCACCCCATTTCAATTTAACCCTCCGTCTTGAATGAGATGTTTTTCAAGGGTAAGCTTCATTGGGCCTGACAGGTACCCAAATAGATGGAACTATTGGAAACACTTCCAGAAAGCAAATTCCCTTGTCCCTTTGTGCCTGCAGAATTCACACACGCTGGGCAGGGTATCCTGACAGAGGAGCCCATGGGAGATGACCTGCCCACCAAGAAGGGAAGAAGAAATCGCTTTAAGTGGGGTCCTGCTTCACAACAGATCCTGTTCCAAGCCTACGAGAGGCAGAAAAACCCCAGCAAAGAAGAGAGAGAGGCACTGGTGGAAGAATGCAACAGGTAAAGATGGGTGTCTGGCTTTGAGGAGAGGCACAGCAGGCCCTCTCTCATCTTAGCATTTGCTAATGCCTATGAGAGGCAGGCTAATGGTACAGCCATG